CCGTGGCATCACAGCTCACAGTAACCTCCGACTCCTGGGTTCAAGCGAGTCTCCTGCCTCAGCCTCCCAAGTAGCTGGGACCACAGGCGCCCACCACAACATGGCTATTTTTTTGTTGCAGCCGTCATTGTTGTTTGGCGGGTCCGGGCTGGGGAGTCGAACCTGCCACCTTAGGTGTACGTGGCTGGTGCCTTAGCCGGTTGAGCTATAGGCGCCGAGCCGCCAAGACCATTTTTATGCCTACAACATTTTTCTTGTTGTAGTTTTTGGCCGGGGCTGGGTTTGAACCTGCCACCTCTGGCACATGGGGCCAGCACCCTACTCCTTGAGCCACAGGTGCCGCCCATATGCCTACAACATTTTCAGAACCAATTCCTTATCCAGTCCACAATATGGCTGAACCTGTGGGTTCAAATCAAATTCAAGCCTTTAAGAACCTTACATATCAATTATTAGTCTAATCAGTCTGCTTTTCTACCAGTTCTGATAGAACTTCAACAGATTAATCACTGAATTATTTTTCCAGAGACAGAGTCATGCTGTCACCCAGGCTGCAGTGCAATGGCAGGATTAAGAGTTCCCTGAACTTTTGAACTCCTAGATTCGAGGTATACTTCTGCTTCAGCCTGATGAGTAGCAAGACTACAGGAGAGCACTACCACACCTGGCTAAATTTTCAAATTTCTGTAGAGAGGTTTAAGTATGTTGCCCAGTGGGACTACAGGCACCCACCAGAACCGCCCAGCTATTTTTTTGGTTGGAGTTGTCGTTGTTTATCTGGCCCCAGCCAGGTTTGAATCCACCAGCTTTGGTGCTATGTGGCTCACGCTGTAACCACTGTGCTACAGGTGCCAAGCCTGAATTATTATTTTTCTAAATTTTTTTTTTTTTTGTAGAGACATTTATCACCCTTGGTAGAGTGCCGTGGTGTCACATGGCTCACAATTCCTGGGCTTAGGTGATACTCTTTTCTCAGCCTCCTGAGTAGCTGGGACTACAGGTGCCTGCCACAAAGCCAGGCTATTTTTTGTTGCAGTTCAGCTGGGGCTGGGTTTGAACCCACTACCCTCGGCATATGGGGCCAGCGCCTTACCCACTGAGCCACAGGTGCTGCCCTACCCGAATTATTTTTTATTATATGGTACGTAGGGGCAAAAATGTTACATGGGTTCCCACTACCTACAGCTTAAAAAATCCTTAGCCTTAGCTCAGCACCCACAGTTCAGTTGAGTAAGGGCACCAGCCACATATACTGAGGCTGGTGGGTTCAAGCCCAGCCTGCTGAACAATGACAACACCAACCAAAAAAAAAAAAACAGCTGGGCGGTTGTGTTGAGTGCCTGTAGTCCCAGCTACTTGGGAGGCCAAGGCAGGAGACTTGCTTAAGCCCAACACTTCGAGGGGGCTGTGAGCTGTGATGACACAGCACTCTACTGAGGGCAACATAGGGAGACTCTGTCTCAAAAAAAAAAAAAAAAAATTCCTCAGCCTAGCACCAGTATTGCCTGTATCCATCTGCATCCACTCCGATATTCTCACCATAGTTTTTTCTTTTTTTGGTTTTCACGTTTTTACTGGGGGCCATGAGGGAGGGGGAGCCTTCTCCCTGTGGATGGAGGTGCTCACAGTTTCTTCAGCCACTCCAAGCTTGGGCCCTGGGGATGATTGGGCACATTGGGCACGTTCCCATCATCTCAGACAGGCACTGGATAGTTGTAGGGCGCGACCTTGTTGATCATGCTAGCGTACTTGGTGTAGGGGCCAATCATCAGCATAATTACAGCAAGGCCCTGACGGTGAAGGACACAACCAGCACTGGCTCACTGGCCCAAGCATTCTTGAGGAAGGTAGCAAGTCTAGCAGCCATCTTGGTCTCAGTGGCGGCGACTGCAGTCCATAGTTTGTTTTCTAAAACAAACGATTCTCGTACCTCTGTGTCATTGTGCTGAAATAAAACTTTCCTGAACACTTTCACCACACAGTAACCTTAAGATTCCTTCCATTTTATGTTCTGTACCACTCTTCAGAGTAATTAAATCCTTAGGTGGGTCACATCTAACATGCTGCTTATGTGTGTATGTATGTACATCTGCTCCTCTCAGACACTGGAAACCTGTAAAGGACAATTACTTCTTTTGACTTCCAACTACTCTGTGCACTTGGAGATTTTTTTTTTTTTATACAAGAGTTTCAACTTTGTTACCCTCGGTAGAGTCCAGTGGCATCACATCTCACAGCAACTTCAAACTCTTGGGCTGAAGTGATTTTCTTGCCTCAGGTTCCCAAGTAGCTGGGACTACAATGCCTGGCTATTTTTAGAGATGGGGTCTTGTTCTTGCTCAGGCTGGTCTTGTAAACCTATGAGCTCATGCCATCCACTTGCCTTGGCTCCCCAGAGTGCTAGGATTACAGGCGTTGAGCCACTGTGCCCAGCCTTGTAGAATGATCTTAACAAGACAGAATAGTGAAAGGTACAGGAACAATGTTCAGTTAACTTGTTTCTCTGCAAAGCTTCCTCACCTTCATACCTGAGAAATAGCCATTATCCCATCCTCTTTTTTAAAGTTGCTAAGATGGTAGGTGTGGTTGAGAAATAGGGAATGAAGCCACAAACTGAAGCTGAATTGAGGAAAACAGGAAAAGATGCATGCAGCTTTTGTTCAGGGCAACATGTAGTGGAGTAGGAGGGTGGAGCAGACAGTACATGAAAAATAATCAAGAATAAGAGGCCGAAATAACTGATTAAAGTTTAATACATTAAAACCAGATATTTATCACTTATATTGCATTTGCCATTTCTGAACAATACAAAGTAGAGGCAAATAGTAACACTTCATAAAAATGTTGATTTCCCCATTCCTTTCCTCAAGACCCAGCCCTCCCTCAAATATTCCCTCCCATCCCTTACAGAACTCTGTCCTGAATAAAACACTTAAATACATCATAAATAGTAAATTATGAAAAAAAAAATAGCAAGAATTCTTTCTTTCTTGTAAAAAAAGAACATGGCAGCAAAGACAGGCAGCCAAAAACTGGCTGGGGGTGTCTAATATAGACAGTTATTTGGGGTATGGGCTAACCTCCTATCAAGGTAGGGTGGGGTAGAGAAGGGATAGCATGGGAATTCAACAATCTGCCTGAGACATCAGGCCCCCTTCTTCCCCTGACAAAAGTGGAAGGATCAGAAGAGGACTGAAACTCTTGGAGATAGGGAGGAGAGTGTTTATGGCCCCCATTTCCAACTTCTCTGCATGAAGACAGGGGGGAGGATATGCAGCACAGCAATTACCTCACCAAGGCAAAAATCTGCTGGCTGACCATGAGTTTAAGAAAATATTCTCTAGCCTCATAAATAAGGACTTCTCTAGCCTCACAAGTAAGGACATACACATGTGTCCCCCTCTCTACCTTAGCTCCATAAACCGCAGAACTGTTAGAAAAGATGGGAATAGCAAAAAATCTCCTTTGGAGAATGATCTAAAATTCATTTCATAAGTCTTCATATTTAAAAAACAATCAGAATACATTTCAAATTGCAAAACAGTAATAACATTACGGCCTGGCAGTGAGTGAGTAGGGTCCTGCCTAGGAAGGGCTCTGATCTCTCAGTCCCATGACTACCCCAGTTTCAACAAAAGGGGTAATGATTACCCCATATCTCACTCTCTCTGTTCCTTCAGCCTTTAAGAAATTCATCAAGAGAGGAGGAGTTTAAAGAGGAGCTGCTCCTGGCAACCAATACGCTTCTCTGCAAACACTAGGTCTCTTCTGAGGGAAAACTATAAATAGGCATCCCTTCAACCCTTCTAAAGCTTTGATCTGAAACTGGCTTGAAATTGTGTACTGTTTGTTCTTTTCCTTTTTTAAGGAAAAAAAGAAAAAGAGGGGCAGCGCCTGTGGCTCAAAGGAGTAGGGAGCCATCCCCATATACCAGAGGTGGCGGGTTCAAACCCAGCCCTGGCCAAAAAAAAAAACCCTGCAAAAAGAAAGAAAAAGAGGTTGGGAGATGGTTAAACACCATGCTACCCCAAGAACATTTACGAAGTTTAAAGGGGTCTTCTTTCAGGTACCAGAGAGAAAGACTACAGTGGGAAAATGTGCCAGCTAGTCTGTCCTGAGGAAATTAAGAGTCCAGCTCCTGGCGAAACATAGATGAGGGTTAACAAAACCACCATGTCCTGCAACTCCATTTCCAACATGAAAAATGGGGGTTTGAAAAATACTCAATCGTGGAAGCCAAGGTTAGCCAGTTGAAAATTCGTGCCGCCCAACTCTGGAGTGGAAGGGATGCTGCTGTCTTCAAGTGTCTGAGGCACTAATGTCCATGTATGAGGAAGGGGAAGGAAAAGACAGTCTTCTTCAGGAAGGTGATGGAGAACGCCACTCACTTCCATTATACTCCTTTTTTGATGACCAAGAAGAAAATTCAGCATTGCTGGGGCAAGAACTGACATCTTAGAATCACAGAGATTGTAGAATCTTGTTCCAGAAATTCTAAGGTTTTCTGCTCACTGAAAAAGCAAAAGGGTGTAAAGTTAAGGATGTAGAGTATGAAATGAAGTAGGAATAAAATTCAACTAAATTTCAACCTGGCCAGCAAAAGTAAGTTTTCTTCTATTTCAGCCTTACCTTTCAACTATAACGTATGAAAAGCACAAAATTTATCAAAAAGCAAGATTTAACTTCCATTTGGTGATTCGCTTTATGCCCTTCAAAGCATTTACCTTCCCCACATCCCAGACACTCACATGGGTGAATCCTGACTCTGCAACTTCAAGCTTTTCCAAGGTTGTACTAATGAGAAAAAAATAATGGAGGTAGAGAGGAAAAGAATTAAAAGATAAAAAAGAACTCTTCTTTCAAGTCAAATCTCACAATGCTTCTATGTATTTCACTTTAGAAACAATTTAGGATTCAGAAAGATGAGGCTAAGTAAGACGCTACTAGACTTAGAAGCACATTGTTGGCTCAGCACCTGTGGCTCAAGCGGCTAAGGGGCCAGCCACATACACCTAAGATGGTGGGTTCAAATTCAGCCCGGGCTCACCAAACAACAATGATGGCCAGTGGGACAGCTTTGAGCCTCAAGCTCATTTTGTTATGCTTCACGGTCTAGATTTGAGTATTTTCTTGGTATGTCCCCCTGGGTAGAGTGCCGTGGCATCACAGTTCACAGCAACCTCCAACTCCTGGGCT